TTTTTTTTAAATATGCGACTATTCGATTTAAAATTTCACTCGTATATCTGAACACCAAAATACATTCGAGAGCTGCAGCCCTAGCGGACTGTTCCGTCGTCTTTCACCAGGTGTGGAAGCTCGCTGGCCACGGGCTCATGCACTCCTTTGGCAGCGAGCACGCCAAACAGTCCATCTTCCGCAACATCGGCGCCGGCGTCATGCAGGTGGAAACGCGTCCCGGGAATCGCATCTTCACCTGTGGGGCGGACGGCACCCTGAAGATGAGGGTCCTCCCAGACCGCTACAACATCCCCAGCAGCTTGGTCGATGTCCTGTAATTTTCTTCCACTTTTGAAGGTCCGAAGAGGAACTCGTAAGGGGAAAGGGAAAAAAAAAAATCACAAACACTTATACAACACTCACGAGGCATTAATAGATGAGCTCGTCAAAAGCTTGCCGTACTCCGGGTATCTTTTCAAGTGTTCAGAAGTCCACCTCTGAGTGACAAACGGGGCTGCAAATGTGTGTTTTCCCCAAAGGCTACAAGCAGAAGTTTCAAGCATAAGGTAACATCCTTGATTTTAAAGCTAGATTTCTTGTTCTTTTATTGAAGACTCTCTACTCTTAGAGCGTGTCCATAGGGAAGCTATGCATGTCCTGTTCTCGTTCCGCGGTGCAATCACAGGTCTATTGACAGTGCTCTGTAAAAGTACTCTGGCAAAAATTTTAAAACGTGTGTAACTGTCGTCATTTTGTGCCCACAGCTGAACTCTCTTAGCATCTACTGTAACCGGCACTGTGGTTTGTTATTCAGTCAGTGGTATCCAAAGTGTGAATCAACTCGTTGGACTTTTTGTTCCCCCCCGCCCCCCCCCGTCTTTCGGAGGTAAATGCTAAACTTCTATTCTGATGACTGTAGGTAGGCTTCGCCCAACATAAGATTCGATATAGGGACACTGACCTGTCCTGGTCTGGCCTTGTGTGTGTGTGTGTGTGTGTGTGTGTGTGTGTGTGTGTGTGTGTGTGTGTGTGTGTGTGTGTGTGTGTGTGTGTGTGTGTGTGTGTGTGTGTTGACTCTGCTGTGTGTGCCCGCCCACCTGCCCACAAATGCCTGTTTGTGTGGCAGCTTCACTGCTTGAACATTCCTGTTGGGAAGATGATGTTGTATTCTTGTGACTGTGATTTCAATGTTTTCATCCGTCTGACACCCCCACACATCATCATTCACCCACAGCGGAAACAAAAGTTCACTTCTGATATTTTTTGCACAAGAAGATGAATTGTGTTTTAGGTTTTTTTTTGGATAATTGAATTTTATTATTTATTGATGTGTTTGACAATTCCTGTGTTGAAAACTGTAACTAAATGCCTTTTATTTTAGGAATGTAAGGGGTTTTACTGTATCTGACTTGACTGGGACACGTGCAACATAAGTCTATTTGTCTGTAAGTGTGTGATACCTTGCTAGTTGTTTTTACTGTTCGACCAGAAAAAATAGATACTTGCACTCACATTCTGGAGACACTAAAAGGATTTATTTCAAATAGATTACAGAAGAAGAAACTGTTAAATACAAATGAATGTCTGGCTTTATTTGGCCTAGTAGTCAAATGTTTGAAATAGTTTTAATATATAAATTATAGAAGTATAAAATCTGTCTCTCTCTCTGTCCCTCTCTCTCTCTCTCTCTCTCTCTCTCTCTCTCTCTCTCTCTCTCTCTCTCTTATATATATATAAAACATCTAACATGAAAGCATTTCTTTATTTTTTTTTGGTTTGTATCATATCGGCTGAATTAGTTGTAGCTTTTGTTAGGTGTATGGAAGTTATTTATGAAACAAATTTTATGTTTCTGTCCCTATATTTTAGCCCACAATATGTATTGTATATGTTCTACCAGTGACCCTACTGGTGTCTGGTGTGTGTGTGTGTGCGTGTGTGCATCAGTGTGTATAAGTGTGTGTGCATGCACGGCAACACAAACAAGTATCACGGGCAGGTGCTTGCAAAGGCACTGATGCCAGAAAGAAAGAACAGATCATGATGTGAGATTTACCTTTGTAAAGTGAATAAATTATTTTTATTTCATCTGGTGATTTAGCACTGTTGTCATTAGTTCTTCCTTTTTCTTTCTGTCCCTCGATTCTGCTTCTATTGCATTGTATGTACAGGATATAAAGAGATCACATACATTTAGATAAAATCCTACAAATGTTACATCAACTCATAGCTTAAAAAAAGTTCGTATAAATGATATTTTGTTTGATAAAAGTTGTGAAAATATGTTAGGAACTCCATAATGACACATTAATAAATAAAGAATGGGATATAATTAACAGCACTTTTTTTCTAATTACACAAATCATGGTAATTGTTCTCTAATGCAGTGGTTCTTGAACATTTTATATCAAGTACCAACTTAATGACCAACATTAAAACACAGTAGCTAGTAGTACTAAATGTTGATAAAATGAGGCAGAGGTTTTTTTACTAAAGAATGTTTTCTCTATTATCATACGGCACATTATTTACAGTTTTAACCTTAACGCTGCTCTTAAACACGGGGAAAACTTCACATAAAGTATGATACACTTAAGATGTACCCAAATAAATAGTGAAAAATTAAATGCAAATGCACTGTACTTAAAAAGGATGGTGTTGAATTCATTCCGTAACCACCCTCAAATCTACTTTTGCCTTTCCAAATAGATGTATAATCATTTTGTAATGTGTTTCTAATAAGGAAAACTGCACTGAATAATATTTTAGTATGTGTCATGTAGATATTTGGTGTGTGTGTGTGTGTCTGTGTGTGTGGAGGCAGGTGGACTCCTTTGATCAGTTTACCTGGAAGTTGTGTGAGTGTGTGCGAATAGTTAGCCAACAATTGGGCATTCAGTAAACAGTTCAGCAGTGCAATGCAGTCAATGAAGCCAATCTTGGGAATGTCTCTGTCGTGAGCAGGGATGACGTTACAGCGGGAATGAGTGGTGCTGTCGCCTCATCAGAAATCTGTGTAACCCCAATTTACCTCCTCCAACATTTTACTTGGTGTTCCAAATTATATTTACAAATTGCCCCCCTCCCCTTTGTATCAGCCAAACCCCCCTTTATCCCCGGGAGAGTAAAAAATCCTGGAGGCATCCCTGGTCGTTAGTTTCCTCTCAGTAATCCTCTCACGTGCAGCAGCAAACGGAGGTTGTTAAGCAGAGGGGCTCATGAGGACCAGACTTGGAGACCCCTGATTGAGCCTATGTGTTAGCATTAAGCTAGCAGACTTGGGCAAATGTTGTGGTTGTTTTAAATACATAAGGGTACAAATCTCTTTGTTTTATGTTTAGTTTGACAGCAACCTTCAACTATACAGCACTTGTCCCATTTTTAAATCAATAAATATATAAATAAAACTGCGTAGACCAGCATGGTTTTGTTGTGTTTTCATGCTGGTCTTGCCAGTGTCAACAGTTTCTAGCAGCGCAACAGCAGTGTATATTGGTCTTACTGGTGTCACTAGCAAGACCAGCAGCAAAAGTCCAGATTCAAACAGCTGAAATTTCGGACACTGGGTAACCCAGGGCGGGTTACCCAGTGTCCTATCAACTGAGCCACACTTTCCTGTTGGGCGGCTGTGGGCTAGTTCGGAGTAAGTTGCCCAGTGACCAAAAGTTTGGCTGTTTGAATCTTGGCTGTTTTACTTTTGCTGCCCGTCACCACCAAATCACAACAAAACCATGCTAATGTATGGTGTTGTATTTTTGTTGTTGTTGTTTTTAGCAGGGATGTATGGATTTTTTGTTTACTAGTTAAAGCAAAAAAAATCAACTGAATGATGCATCGTATCTCAAGGCACCACTGTCATTTCATATTTAATCCACTGTACACTGGAACTTTAAGCCACTGCCGCATTATGTATGGTTTGTACTTTTGAGTGATTGACCCTTTTTGCGTACACTTTGAGAATCCCTGGTCTAATAGCTAACTATGTGCTTGGACATATATATTTTTTAATCTAGAGTTTGATTGTCATTCTGTTGCAGGTCATCACTCATCAGAGATGAAGTAGACCACGTAGAGTTTGACGTAGTTGTTGTCCCACACATACAGGTGTCTGTCCTTGGGGCTGTAGGATAGCATTGCCAGCACTCCACCTGGAGGCCTCAGGTCAAAGGTTACATTAACCGGTTTACCCTTCAGCAGGTCATACGCAAAAGTGACTCTGGCGTCCTTGGTGTCCGTGACATACAGAACCCCGCAGGCGATGAAGGCGTTGCCGGCCTTAGTGCGTGGATAGGTGGTGTTTATATAGGAGGTGATGGAGAAAGTCTTTTGGTCCAATTGGGCCACCACGATGCTCTCGTCCAAGTTGGAGGCGTAGATCAACCACAGGCCGTTCTCGTCCGCCGCCATTTTGAAATAGGTCTTGGAATTATGCAGCAGATAGGCACGGTTGTGATAGAGAGCGTCATCTACAGTGAGTGTAAGGAGCTTCTTGGTGTCCAAGTCAAATCTGTCACAAACCACAACACGCCGGTTATTTGCATTAAACAACTAAATCAGTACTTCTCTTTTTTTTTTACACCAAGTAAAACCTTAATTAATATTTAGGTACCACCAAAATTTACAACAACAAAAAATACAGTCGAGCTAGTACCCATAAATCTCAATCAATCATGAGGCAGAGATTCTATTCCTAAATACAGTATAAATACAGTACATCTCAGAAATGGGAAAAAGTCACATTACGTTCAAGTCTTAAGTGTAACTGTGGAAAAAAAAGGAAGCAAGTCAAGTCTAGTCACCACCAAATTTCAATTTTCAAAGTCAAGTCGTTACTTTGTTCAAGCAAGTCATAAGTCAGGTCACACAATCTTGCTCAGTTACAACATTGATTGGAGTGACGATATTGTTTTTCACTGAACTCTAAAAATTAAGTGAACCTTTACATCTCTAAAAGTGAAATGAAATTCAACTTGTTGAATGTCTACACTTCATTGAGTGTCACACTGTTAATGTGGTGATAAATATTGAAATATGTTGAATGTGGGTGTAAACATGTATGATCATCAGATTTAAAAACTACAGACATTTTGTTTTTTGTTTTTTCTGGTGGCAATCCCTTAAATCGAATAAGTGTGTGTCTATGGGTGACTGAGATGTATTCACCTTTTGCCCTTTGTAAGTTGTCACTTGTTTAATGTTGAGGTAAGTCGACGTGCATTAGCTTACGGTGGCGTTGCCACATCAAATATGGCGGACATGCTCACAACCAAAAAATGACGATTGGTTTGTCACGTTGGCGTGAAGGAAACAAAAACACTCTTCTTCTGTCTTTCTTGCTTTCCTTCCTAAAAGGCAGATTTCAAACTATCAACACGATGACTTGTCATGCAGTTCAAGTCGAAGTCAAGTTGAGTCAATTACCAAGTCCCAGTTCAAGTTAAGTCGTTCCCAAGTTTTCTGCAAGCATATTGCAAGCCCCAAATATAGCGACTTGAGTCTTGTTCGAGTCATGTCCCCCAACTTTACTGTACTGGAGAAAAGTTTAAGCCACTGAAACATTATGCACATGACCGACTAGTAGGCATGTGGCATGCACTACATTCTGAACCTGTAGTACTAAAATGTTCACTAGTAGTTATGCATCACTAGTAACGTAGTTGTTTTCCAGGAATGCCAGGTTTCACCTACAAGTGTGCAGAAATATGAAACAGTAGTGGTGTGGAAAACATGACTTGTAAGACACCGTCGTTCTACTAGTGCACCTTAGACATTCTAATACTTCAAAGTTCTACTTCCCATGACCAACAACATAAGGTCCATATATTAGTACGCTCTTTGTCCTCACCTATTGCACTTTGGCATACCTTTGCCTCACTAGTAAAATTCAGTTGTCTTACCTGTATGCCAAAGTTTTCCTACAAGTAAAAACAAAGAGCGTACTACAACATCAGAATTTTGCTTACCTGGCAATGCTGGACGTGCCAGCAATCTGATAGTAGAAGGAGCCACCGTGCACTGTGTGACCACACCCCTGGTAGAACTTTCGAACATTCACAATGTCACTGCTGTTGGATTGCAACGCCGCAATGCTCTGATACTCCCTCAGCAGACGACCTGTGGGCAAAGAGATCTCATTCCACCTTCAAAGCATGTCTGTTCTACAGCGTGATGCCCGTCAACAAACCCGAAAAGTGTTCCGCCACCCATACGCGTTCGTCATTGAGCACGGCGGTGTCCTTCATCCATGTGCCAAATGTGCTCTCCATCTTTGTCACATTTCTGGGGTTGATCAGAGACTTTATCAGGCACTCTAAAGGGAGAACAAAAATTATCAGTAGGGCCGGACCGACATATTTTATTAGGCCATTGCTGTTTCCAGTATTTGGCAGACTACAATTCCGATAACCGATTAATTATGTGTGTGATATACTGTATAAATATTTCTGTTTGTTAATGCTTTTACATGACACACTTTTGGTTGTCTGAAGCAGATTGAATTGCTCTATGTATCGAATGTTTGAGATGTAGTTGCTTTGCCTAGTTACAAGATGTTTTTCCCCTGCCAGGCCTTTTTTGCATGATCTTGCCGGGTTAACTATGAATTTTTGAACACACCATTCCTCTTCGGTGCCTTCTCATGAAGTTTCCCAGCTGTCTTCACAAACAAGGTCTCATCATTTGGAATTGAATACAATGGTTCTGGAAAAGGCATTAAAGAGAAGAATTAAAGAAAGTTACTTCAAATTCCCAATAGCTGTTTAACACCCCCTACAATTCTCTCTCTCTCTCTCTCTCTCTCTCTCTCTCTCTCTCTTGTCCCTCACCCATGGTCTGAGCCGCTTGTAGGTGGGCTCTATGGTGCCTCGTTCTTGGGGGTCCCTGAGGTCCTGGAGGTCCAGGGGGCCCCACGGGTCCAGGTGGTCCAGGAGGGCCAGGGGGGCCTGAACAAAAAGGAAAGCCTCATGGATCATTATTATCCAAGTGAGAACAGCCCGTCGTGACTCACCCTTGATGATGACATCATTGGTTGGTTGGCCATCTTCTCCGGGGGGGCCTTGCTCTCCTTGCTCTCCCTTATCCCCCGGTTCTCCTTTTTCACCAGGCAGTCCTGTGGGCAACAACCAAGACTGTGTTCATGCACTCAGCACAACTCTAAAAACATCCCATGAACTGGAAAGTTCACTCAATTGTCATGACCTGTTAAACTTGTCAAAGCTTCTCCATCGAACTTAGCTTTGCATAGCTTGTGCTAGCAAGACATCGCTAAGCAGTGATCAAGTGTGAGTGAAAAATGACATGATAATTGTGGGAAACGTGAACGAGCCTCGTAAAGTGTACTACAGTACCACCTCATCCTTACCCCTTTTTCCTCGTTTACCATCAGCTCCAGGAAGCCCGTTCAGCCCAGGAATGCCATCCGTCCCATTAATGCCAGGCATGCCGTCTGCACCAGGCAAACCTACAATCACACAAAAAATTGGTTGGCTCTGAACTGGAGCGAGAATACACAATTTACAGATCGGCGAGTTTGATTGTCACATACCAGGTGGTCCTGGGGGCCCTGTGAGAGATAATTGAGGAGCATTAGAAAATATGAAGATGAATATAAAACATGCACATGTAGGTCAGACAGTACCAGCCAGGCAGACTCCTTTGGTGCTGTTACAAATGTCGACCAACAATTTAATCTGGAAAAAAAGAACATTTTAAATGTATTTATATTTTTAAGACAATGTACGATGTCACAAATGTGGAATTAAAATATCTGCTGTCCCATTCCATTTTGAAAATGGATTAAGAGGTTTGGCTAAAAAATTGATTAATTTGATTGGCTAGATTTTCTGTATTTGAAGTAAAAAAAAAGGAAAAAAAGGACACAAGCACAGCCACCCCTCACTGAGGTGGTGTATCACTTTGGCCACCCCTCTATAAAATTTCTGGCTTTGCCCCTGCTCAAAACTCAAAATGCTATTTTTCCATTGACATGAATGAAAATGCCATTAATATGTTCCATCCTCACCTCCAAAAAACAACAAATATTTTTGGAATGTGTTTTTAATTACAAAAAATAACATACTGTACTGTACTTCAAAAAACCATACCCTCATAATGAAATTGAAAGTAAATAATTAAACAGTTAGTTTTTACCACATTTTGCTGCTTCAATTCAATGGACAATGTGCTGCTCTTTGTGGAGTGCACTCCTTGGCCACTAGGTGGCAGTATCATGCACACAGAGACATACGAAGTACAGTATCACAACTGACTCAGTAAGCTGCAGTAATATTAGCCTTTTTTGAAGAAGATAAAGAACACATGCCTGTGTTTATCTATCTATCTATCCATCCATCCAGTTGGATGTCATCTTACCGGCACCATGGAATAAGTGAGCATCATCATCATATCATCGTGCACGTCTTGCTTGTGGTAACGATGGTTATGACGGTGCTTGTGTTTCCGATTGTGCTTCGGTTTCATCTCAGTTTCCTCTCCGACTTCCAGGCTGACCTCCTGCTGCTCGGTCTCCACATCTTCCTGACGGTCGAGCTCCTCCTCCACCTCTCGCTCTACCTCCCGCTCCTCATCCGTCCCTATCTCCTTCTCTTGCGTCACCTCTAACGTCTTCTCCTGCCCCTCATCCAGCTCAAGCGCATCACTCCTCTTGTTTCTGGAGTATTGATACTGCGGTTTCCCCACATTCCTCTGAGCTCGTTCTCTGGGCACCTCCTGGAGAAACTCCACCACTGAGCTCTGCTCCACCTGTGTCAGCCTGTCTCCCGCCTGCTCCAGGAGGACGTTTTGTTGATTCTGCTGGATCAGAAGCATTAAAAGGCCCACAGAGTTTAATAATGCCAGTGCACACGTCCCGTACAGCACCAGCCGCTGAGGACGAGTCATGCTGGGGATCGGGATCCACATGGTTACCGCGTCACCTGCTCTTCTCTTGGAGTCACCCATACACCTCAGCATCAGCGGTCGACCACTATTTATTCACTAAATATTTACAACCACCACAGTGGATTTCACAAAAAAAAAGTAGTCCTTCCTTGCACGGATAAGATGAGCACTCCAAAGAGGCGAGGCAGTCAGTCAGTTAGTCCGGGCTCTGTAAAGGCTGGCTGGTAACTACAGTGCCTGTTGTGTTGCTCGCCAAGTGGGATGCGTACATGTGTGTGTGTGTGTATGTGTCAGTTATGTTGGAGTGGGCATGACACAATCTTCTGGGCTTGTCTGTGAAGAAGCCCCCGCCTGTTCAGTCACCTGATTTATATTCAGCACAGTCCATTCTAGAGCATCGCCGTGGGCAGATACACGCGCACACACACACACACACACACACACACACACACACACACGCACACACACACACACACGCACACACACACACACTCACGCAGCACTCACATACTGTACATATTCAGTCGTAGCACAACATATAATAATTTTCTTATTTATTTAAGACCGCCTCCTTCATCTTTTGATATTTACTTCTGTCCCTTTCAAACTGCACCTCTTTGTCCTTCCTCATTACTTTCTTGCTTCCGATTGGAGATTCAAACCAAAACCTAGAAGTGTGAGGCACACATGCAAATCTCGCTGTCCATTTATTTCCTTTGCTTTCCAGGATTGAATCTTGTTTAATTTCCTTTTTTTTCATACTTCCCTTATGGACTACTTCATTGTCTTTCTTTTTCATTCCTTTCATCTTCACTCCCTTCTCTGTCCTTCCTTCTGTTTTCTTTATTTTTTTCCAAAATTCAAAAGCTGTCTGTAAAGTAGTTGCCCATTCTACCAGTAACTACAGTCGAGCACCATTTACCCATTTAAAACAAGGATGTTTCAACAGTGTAGTTTTCTTGAAAACTCAAGGTGCTGTTTCATGTAAACTCTCGGTTTTTGATTCAGTTCAAGTGGAGTGAAGTTTGGTTTCGGTCAAAAGGAATAGGACACGTTGGAACCGGAAACCACCGTTTTCAATTAAACTGAAAGGACTTTGACTGGCGTTTCACTTCTGTCAGTGTGCTCCTGATGATGATCAATGATTTACATCAGTAATCAATGTGTTAAAGTGGCAGACTTTTTCACAAGTCAGTTCATGACCTTTCCTCCAGCAAGGCGCCCCCCCCCCCCCCCCCCCCCCCCCCCGCCACTACAACACCCACATCTCCCACCCCCGCAGCCCTCGTCCTTGTCACATCTTTGCAGCCTCCATCCACCAACTGTGACAATGACCTGTTTCCATTGCTTCGATTTGGGCCATAAAAGTGACATTTCTGTAGGAAAATGACAGGTCTGCATAGTTGCCGGAGGCCTTGATGCATCCTCCTTAACGGTGAAAAAGCGGCTACTTCCTGTTCTAATTAAACTATAATAAATGCAGGATCCTGAAATCTCATACCACTTGAACCGAAGGGACTCTGCATTTCCGTCATCACTAAATGCCTCATCTTTTAACTTTTCATTTTCCATGCACACATGCAGTATATATATATATATATATATATATATATATATATATAATAAAATATCATTTCAAAATGTAATAATAGCCTTTCTGACATGAATAAATACGTGATTACTCCTTAATCTTTCAGTGAAAGTATTTTAAAGGTGCTGCTCTGCCGCGGGTATCAAGGCCCCCTCTGACCTCTGTTACTGATGTTGAGTGTGCATGATCTCTCTAATGCTGTGTTAACCTGTCAATGGTTCGAGATACCTCAAACGTACACAGGCAGTTCTCCGGTTTGCTTCAAAACAAAAATATTTGATTGATAAAAAAATACGCAAGACCAATGAAGTACAACAAATGAGTCAAACCAAAAATGCTTGAAAAAGGCAAGGGTAAAATCAACGGAAATAGCTTGATGTGAAAGGACAAGAGGAAAGCCAAACCGGGAAAGATAGAAAACCAAGAATAAGCTTAAACAACATAAACACTATGAAAATGCAGAAACGAGGCATGCAAATACATGCCGTGAATGAGACAGAAACTTGATAATATTCAACACTTGAGACAACGCCATGAGCAAGATGTGGAATAATCCAACAGCGGCTTGCCAGTTTGGTAGCCCGTAAATCCGGCGTTCCTAACATGTACTTTTCAAGCCAACCAACCTTCGTGATCGACCGTTACCGCACGTGCACACGCGCATGCACTCGTACATGAAAGAAACTGAATGAGAACAATTTCAAAAAAGACCTATCGCAACAGCTCTGATTGCAAGCTGCAAGCGCAGACTGCTGACCGCTAACAACTTCCGGTGATGGAGGTCATGCGCCACCGTGGGTTAAAGGTGACCTGCTTTTTTTAGTTTCTTTTATTTTTTAAATAATTTGTTGTCACACTGAAACTGATAGAATGCAGTGTACACAAACACATATAATAGTAATAACGCGCATAGTCTAACACCCGCAATCGACTTGGGACCAGGGCTACTACAGCCTTAAATGGTCGATTGTAATGCATGCCAGGTGCACCGCTGGACGGAAGCGCCCCCCACTTCATTAGGAACAGAGATCAAAACTGAACCGAGTCATGACAAACCCCGAACCCAACCCCACCCCCAAACCCTAATCCTAACCCTCTACCCCTAACCTCAAACCCCGACCCTGCAAAATTACATATGAATGAATCCAAAGACTTTTGGAAGAATATTCTATGAACTGACCCAATGGAAGTTGAACTTTCTGGTAGGTTTCTTGTTTCATCTGGCGTAAATATAACACAGCATTTTGGATGGAGGGAGGCAGTATAGATACTGTAGCTCCCACTGCATCTGGAGTATGCAGTCATGTCTTGCTGTCAAATGTTACAACGGGTGAAACTGGAATCAAACAGTAGTTGAAGGGTTAAAGAAAACCAATGCTTCATTCACAAATGCGATCACACGTGTTTTCTACTAAAGTCAAAGCACTCGTGTCCACATACACATGAAGAGATGGCTTGAAGTGTAAGATTACAGTTCGTTCCAGGTCCTGCACTCTGTGGAGCAGAGTTGTTGTTGTTCTTGCCTGAAGCTGTGGGTCACTGATAGACAGTTGTTGACCAGCTTGAATCCCTCCCGCACATATGCGCACACATCGGAGCTCTCTTCTTTGTTGCCTTTCATTCATGGTGCTCCCAGGCAGTCGAGGCTGGGGGCAAAATGAACAAAAACACAATAAAAGAGCAAGCATAACACACTGTGATCGCGTGCTTATCTAGGTAAGGTGCACGTCTTCTACATGCGTGCACTGCAAGGAAATTCATAATGTGGACAAAAGTATTGAGACGCCTCGCCAGTAGCCACTGGAAGGATGAGGGGAAATGAAAGAAAATCAACCTTTTTATTTTGTGTGAATGTGCTTCAGCTCACCCTCGACTCCAGTGAGGACAAGCGCTATAGAAGATGGAAGGCTGCTATATTAGATGATGAACTGAAAAGGTTTATCCATGAAGTGTAGCTACTTTAAAAAGGTAAAAAAAAAAAAAAAGTCAACACAAGTACAGTACATCGTGAATGTTTTGCTCTGCCCCCTCCTCCACCCTTCCTGAGGTGCAGCTGTCTCTCTTATCTTCTTCCAAACACAAGCTATGATGTCAGGCTTTGTTGCTCCAGACAAGGACGAAAGTCTTTATATTTCAAATGATAAACAGATGCATTATTGTTATGACAGTGGCTTTTTTTTCCCCAATGCATTGGTGCCAAGTAACCATGTTGGAGTGAACTGAGGAATTTCATTTGGACAAAAGTAGTGCTTTGTCAGTACCTGTGGCATATATTCTGGACCTTTTTTGGTGGGGGGGAATCAATTACTCCCCTTACCGTGCCAATAGTGGGCGTTCACTGGATATAAATTTTTTTATTGTGGTGCAAAGTAACTAGAATTTAAAGGCTTAAAACCTTGTACCTGGGATAGGCTCAGCTCACCCTTGATCCCAGTGAGCATCAGCGCTAAAGGAAATGGATTGATGGATATTTTACACTCACGGAAAGAGGAAATAGTTGAAAAATGTTATTCTGTAAAAACAGCACCCAAAAAAAAAATCAAACAAAGTCTTGTGTTTAACCTACATTTCCTTAGCTCCATTCGATAGTAGTTTAATACTGACCATTAGATCCCCTTCTTTATTTTAATGTTATCTAATGTATAAATATATTTACTTCTTGTTGACACATCCATAATTTACAGTATGCTGTTAAATGTGCTCGTTGACCCCTCGAGACAGGGGGATGCGGTTTACCACAATACAAAGCCCAGAGATGAGGTTAGATTAACATCTGCTCACGAGGAGCATCGCTTCATCATGCTAAACAATCTGGGTCTCTGACATCATGTGGAACACCGCCATCAAATCAGGGTCTCAGTACACAGTGGGCCATTTAAACACAGCACATTCTTGGACGAGAGTGGGCGGTGGCTGATTGATACTCGACATAACAGAGACACTTTTCCTTCTAACAACAAAGACTTTGTCACTCAACTGCAGTTAATCTTCCCCGACATTCATCTCATTACCAAAGTCAACAAATTGTGTGCAATTTGCAACTTGCAATGAGAGTGTGCTAAAAAGGTGATCGCGTTTATGATCCATTTTCTGAACCACTTTATCCTTACGAGGGTTGCGCGAGCCTATCCCACATCTGATTTCGGCCACAAGGCCGAGGTACACCGTGAACTGGTTGCCAGCCAATCCCAGAGAGTTTATGAAATGAAATTAAATACAATTCAGTCACAAAAGCATATAGATTTGTTTGCCATTTACAAAAAAAAAAGTCTTCAGACAAATATCAAAATTAAATAATTTTTTTATTACATTTTTTTCAAACAGTTATGAAATAAAGTTGTTTTATTATCATTTATTTACTAATATATATCTCCCAAGGCCAGCCGGGAAGCTTAGTCTCTCCGGTGTGTCCGGGGCTGTCCCTGGAACACTTCTCCAGGAAGCGTCCTAATCTGGCTCCTCTCATTGTGGAGGAACAACGGCTGTACTCTGAGCCCTTCCTGGATGAATAAATCTCACCATATCTCTAAGGAAGAGCCTACACGCACTGCGAAGGTGACTCATTTCGGCCGATTGTATCCGGGATTTCGTTCTTTTGGCACACGCACCACCGCTCGTGACCATAGGTGACAATAGGAATGTAAATCGAGAGCTTTGCCTTTGGGCTTAGCTCCTTCTTCACCAATGCAGAGTTCACATCACTGCAGACACAACACTGATCTGTCTGTCAATCTCCCGTTCCATCCTGGCCTTATTTGTGAACAAGACCCCAAGTTACTTGAACTCCTCCACTTGGGTCAGGATCTCATTCCCAACCTAGAGAGGGGAACTCCACCCTTTTCTGACTGAGGACCATGGTCTTAGATTTGGAGGTACTGATTTTCATGCCAACCATTTCACACATGCTGCCTGCGAGCCGCTCCAATGAGTGTTGGACATCTGGGCTTGATGAAACCAACAGTACGACATCTGCAAAAATTAGAGACGTGACACTGAGACCACCACCCTGGACCCGCTCAACCTAGAAATTCTGTTTATAAAGGTGATGAACAGAATCGGTGACAAAGCGCAGCCTTAGCAAAGGGCTACCCTCATTGGAAACGAATCCAACTTGCTCCTGGCAATGCGGGCCAAACTCAGACTTTGGTCTTACAGGGACCAAACAGTCCATATCAAGGGATTTGGTACTCCCCACTCCCAAAGCACCTCCCACTGAACTCCAGAGGGCCGCGGTTGAACACCTTCTCCAGGTGCACAAAACACATGTAGACTTGTTGGGCGAACTCCCATGTGGACCCTGTTGGGCGTGTAGAGCTGGGCCACTGTTCCATGGCCAAGATGAAAGCCACATTATTCCTCCTGAATCTGAGATCCGGCTTCCTGGTGGGCCCTCCACTCCAGCACCCCTGAATAGACTTTCTCCAGGGGGGGGTGGGGGGCTGAGGAGTATCATTCCCCTGTCGTCCACCTTCTTAAAAAGGGCGAGCACCACCACAGTTTGCCAATCCAAAGGCACTGCCCCTAATGTCCATGCAAGCCCCACAACATCCAGAGTCAGAAATCGAGGCAGATCTCATCCACCTCGGGAACCTTGCCACCAAGAAGCTTTCTAACCATACTGATGATTATTATTTTATTTTTTTATCATTTGAATTTAGCAGGCTTATTAGTAGCACTCTTCTATAATTTGTGTCAAATTTACAATACTGTATATTTACTTTCACTTACACAACATTTAAGTAGTCGTGCGAGTGCTTTTGCGATCTCTGGATTTTGATAGATCGTGCAGGTGTCATGTACTGTATATTCTGCCGTGACCTGTGTGAGTTTATAATCGTAAGATCCAACCAGAATGAGTGTCATACTAAACTTTCCCTCCCTCGCTGCTCAGTCAGTGACTCAAGCAGGTGTTCGCTTGAGAGTTTTCCAAGCAAAATCGTTTGATGTTCAAAGCAAGAGTGCAACTCCTTCTTCTCATCAGCCAAATGTCAAATACGGCACTGTAGTGTATGCTCAGGGACACCGGCCTCAATCCAAGCGTCAAGGTTACGAGTGTATTGTTTACCTTTTTCCCCCCATGTGTTGTGGCTTTTGCGTTGCCCTGACCTGGCTCATAACCAACGTCGACAGCCAATAAAGAAGAAGCACTTGTGCTTGCGCAACTTTCATCGCGGAGTTTGCGTCCTGCGTCTTTTCAATCCACCTTCTTATGGAGCTGATCTCTGCTTGTGAACGGACCATGACTGTGGTTGACTTTGAGGCGATAGCGTCCGAACTGGTGCCCACGTCCCAGAATGCAACTGTGGGAGCAGCGGTTGGGATTTCCCTGGCAACCAGAACTCTGCTTTTACTCGTCTGTCTACTGCTGTTGGCTTGGGGACACATGGACAAGCGACGCGTACCAGGTGGGTCGTCTCGAATAAACTCTCAAGATGAATCATGTCTTTCTCAGTCAGTTGTCAGAAGAGGAAGTTCACTGACTGTTTTTTTGTTTTACGTTTCTTTTCAACAGGTCCATATTTTTGCCTGGGATTGGGGCCACTTCTTTCATATGTGAGATTTATTTGGACGGGCATCGGCACAGCCAGCAATTATTACAACGACAAGTATGGTGACATTGTCAGAGTTTGGATTGATGGGGAAGAGACTCTCATTCTCAGCAGGTTGGCTCTTTAGCTTAACTTTGAAGAGGGCAATGATTCATATTGTAAAATGCAATAGCATTGCTATTATTTCGTGGGAAGATGAGGTGGGGGGGGGGGATTTTGGAAATATCTCCAATTGGAAACTTACAAAAGGCATTATGAGGGAATGAACCTGAAAGGAGGGTAATTTAATGGAAAGGTATCATATCCAAGCATAAATGATAAACATAAGCAGAGATCTATGCAAAAGAATATAACTAAACAGCATAACATTTCAACAGATTTGATTTGTTTCCTAGAATTGCTAAAAATTTGATTGAACAATTGTTTCATGGAATAACAAAAACATTAATGTTGAGTTCATTCTTACTTATTTCACTGACCCAAGGCATTCAAAAATTAACATGAATTTCCAACCTAGTGCCATTCAAACTGCAAATCCTTTGCCTAATAGCATCATTGCATTAATTTTTTTTAAACAAGAAAAAAAACAGTAACTTCATACAAAAACAGTCAATTTGCTTTCATACAACCTTGCGAATTACCATGACCTAGATAACTGTGAACCTAGAAAAGCATAGAGAAAAAAACTCAAAATTTTGAGCATTGGGATTTTATATATTGATGATGTGACAATAAGTGAAAAACGACATACTTCGCAAAAGAACCCCCCCCCCCAAAAAAAATATCTTTGTTGCATGACACTATACTTGAACCATATGTGGTTTTAGGCAGGAAAATGCTGAAAAATATTTTCCCCCAGTAATTTCCCTGTTAAGAACCTACCTTCGGTTTTATAAATGCCTGACTCATCCCCATGAATTCTTGTTAAATCCTGTAATTTCATAACCCTAAAAATTCTATTCTTATTCTCGCCAGAGCATCGGCGGTGCACCACGTTTTAAAGCATGGACACTACACCTCGCGGTTTGGGAGCAAATTAGGACTAAGCTGCATCGGCATGAACGAGAGGGGGATTATATTTAACAACAATGTCACCCAGTGGAAAAAGACACGCAGCTATTTCACCAAAGGTAACAATTGCAATTCCACCGGCTCAATGAGAAGGACGCCACCGACCTCGACATTCTGCTGCAGCCTTGACAGGCCGGGGCCTTCAACAGACCTCGGAGGTGTGCGTCTCCTCGACGCAGAAACACCTGGAGAACTTGAGGAAGGCTGCGGGAGGGGATGCATTGACAAACGTGGATGTCCTCAGTCTGCTCCGCTGCACTGTGGTCGACATCTCCAATAGACTCTTCTTGGATGTGCCCTTCAATGGTAAGTGCGCCTGGAATTCCGTTTTTGGAATCTTGCTGGAAAGTAGTTTTGTGTAATAGTTTGCATGTTCTCCCGTTCCTGCGTGGGTTTTCTCCGGGTACTCCAGTTTCCTCCCACCTTTCAAAAACATGCATGGCAGGCTGATTGAACACTCTAAATTGTCCCTAGGTGTGAATGTGAGCGTGGATAGTTGTTCGTCTCTGTGTGCGCTGCGATTGGCTGGCAACCGGTTCAGGATGTCCCCCGCCTACTGCCCGAAGACGGCTGGGATAGGCTCCAGATAAGCGGATCGGAAAATGGAAGGATGGATCTATCACTATATCCTGAAATAGGATAGATAACATTCACTTATATTGACATGCAGATGACACAGTGTATTTGTCAGCAACTCAAATATCCCCGAGTTTGGTTGTATTTAGAATGAGTCATTCACTTCATGTAATTGAAAAGTGTTCCAATGCAGAAACAGCCGCGCTTAAAGTCTCACTGCCAAAATGTATTGGTGATTTCAAATTTTAGACATTCATAGTGGAGGCAAACCTGACTGACAGAAAGGGGGTGGCCCACTGAAATACACGTCTTGCATAACGGTTAAGACAAGCAGCTTCATAAAAATCCTGTGAGTTGCACAATTCTCATGTGTTGCCCTGAAGACTGTGGATAGGAGCGGATAAATGATCGTACCTGCTCATTACACATCATAATCACAATAAAGGCTTGCAATTGTTCCAACACGTTCACAAATTCATAAATTTCTCAAAACTGATCCGATTTATTTTACTGTCTATTGTGTAAATGCGACACGGTTGCCTTATCCTGGCACTCACAGATTCCTCTGGTGTATTGCAACAATTTAATTTGGGATTTCTCCAGTGGCATTAACATGAAAGACAGCTTGAGTGACAAAGACGGAATGTTTGTCAAGGAAGCTAAGAAAGAAAGCAACACTTAAAATAGAAGAACAATTGCAAATTGAGTGCAGATTGTCTGTCAATATGAGAGGAACAAACCCATTTAGCAATAAAGAAGCAATAGATTTTATTTTATTGATTTTAACACTTGCTATCTAGCTTAACCAAGCTTTTCTAACGATGCATTTTTGTTCAGAAAAAGAGCTAATGCAGAAGATTCTGAAGTATTTCGAGACATGGCAGAGCGTCCTGATCAAACCAGACGTCTACTTTAAACTTGACTGGATTTACCAAAGGCACAAGACAGCAGCGTGAGTCACATGATTGGAATAGACCCCATAAAATCCACCCCCCACCAAATTCTCTGCTCACGTGATCGTTCACTTTGCAGCCAGGAGCTCCAAGATGCCATCGAGGGCCTTGTGGAGCATAAAAGAAGAGAAATGGACCAGGCGGATAAACTGGACAACATCAACTTCACTGCCGAGCTCATATTCGCACAGGTTGGACAAAAACAACAGACTCCTCCGCCTCACAAGGATAAAATGGTTTCACTGTTCCCATTTGGTTTTAGAATTGCGGCGAAATTTCTGCTGAGAACGTGACTCAGTGTGTGCTGGAGATGGTGATCGCCGCACCGGACACTCTATCGGTCAGCCTCTTCTTCATGCTGCTGCTTCTCAAACAGCATCCGCATGTGGAGCTGCAGCTCCTCCAGGAGATAGACAGTGCCTTGGGTGAGGATTTGCAGGAAATGTTATGACAACATGCAGGGGAGGCCGGTCACAGATATCCATCCGGCCCTCCCTCACTCCATCCTTCCCTGACTCTCTCTCTCTCTCTCTCTCTCTCTCTCTCTCTCTCTCTCTCTCTCTCTCTCTATATAGATAGATAGATAGATAGATAGATAAAAAGATAGATAGATAGATAGATAGATAGATAGATAGATAGATAGATAGATAGATAGATAGATAGATAGATAGATAGATAGATAGATAGATAGATAGATAGATAGATAGATAGATAGATAGATAGATAGATAGATAGATAGATAGATAGATAGATAGATAGATAGATAGATAGATAGATAGATAGATAGATAGATAGATAGATAGATAGATAGATAGATAGATAGATAGATAGATAGATAGATAGATAGATAGCATGGTGGTCAACTGGTTAGCACCTCCGCCGAACAGTGCAGGCCTTTCTGTGTGGAGTTTGAATGTTCTCCCCGGGCCTGCGTGGGTTTTCTCCGGGTGCTCCGGTTTCCTCCCACATTCCCACAAAAAAATAAAACATGCATGGCAGGTTAATTGGGCACTAAATGTGATTGTGAGCGCGAGTGGTTGTTTGTCTATGTGTGACCTGCGATTGGCTGGCAACCAGTTCCTACTGCCAGATGACAGCTGGGTTCGGCTCCAGCACACCCTCAACCCTCGCGAGGATAAGCAGATCAAATGTAGGGACAATTTAGAGTGTTCCATTAACCTGCCATGCGTGTTTTGGAATGTGGGAGGAAACCTCAAATTACTTGAACAACTAACAAAATGCATCTCTCTAACGAACTGCACACATTAATACATTTAATGATCAGCATCCCTGATGAGTATGATTAATTTATTTAGTTTTTTTTGTCATTGTATTTTATAAATATTGATTCTAAACTGCCCGAAAATATACATGTAGCACAGTTGTGTGATACTAGTTTGCATTTTTATATATTTTTGATTTTTTTGTACAGCTACAACATGATTTTGATGGTATGAAGAGGTGGATTAAGTCCGCTGACGGAACCCACGTACCAAATGCTTTCATTTGGTACGTGGGTTCCGTGGGACCTCACTGCCAATATGACAAAATAGCGGTTTTTAACAGAGGGTGAATTCTTTGCTTTTAGGTGACCGACCCCTGCAAAACGATGACCTTAACAAGCTGCAAGTTCTGGAGAGCTTCATCAATGAATGCTTGCGTTACCACCCAGTGGTAGACTTCACCATGCGGCGTGCACTGTCTGACGATGTCATTGATGGCTACAGGGTCCCAAAGGGCACAAATATCATTCTGAACACCGGCCGAATGCATCGCACAGAGTTCTTCCCCAAACCCAACGAATTGAATCTAAAAAACTTTGAAAAGAATGTAAGTAGACATTTTCCTTGAAGTACAATAAAATGCGTTAAGAGGAACAAAACCCATCTTAAAATCTGCATTTTCAGAAGCGATATTCACACCGTGTTTTGCTTTTACCTTTCTTTTTCTTAATTCTGTTCATGGGATTCATATTTTGGTCCAACAGATAGTTTCCATCTCATAAAGTATTCAAACATAATAATGTTATTACTTGAGTGCCATCTTGTGGTATTATGGTGCCAAGAAGCCGTTGAAGTGAGTTGAGCACTTCATTTAGACCAAATTAGTGCTTTGAGGCGATCTCATACCATCTTGGTGCCCAAGGCACAAGATCACTTATGTCAGGGATGGGCAACTGGTGGCTCACGGGGCCTCGATGAATTATACCAAGTTATAATATTTTCAGTTTTTTTTTTTTGGGGGGTGGGGGGTGTTGCTGTGGGGCAATTTCAACATGTTTCCTCGACTACAATGAAAGTGAGGGCGAGATTCTCCAATTTTCCCAATGCATTTCAATGCTTGCTTCTTCCGAGAAATATTCCTCATGTTCTGAGCCTGCTTCGTGTGTTATCTCAAAATGTCTGAAAATGTTAATTAGCCAAAATCTGCTGCAAGATTGCTGGGCCCCCTGAAAAGTTTAGAATTGCCTAGAGATGCCACAAGATGGCGGCAAAGCACAATTTTCTCTGAGACAAGGCTGTGACCTGGCTAAAATGAAGCTTCTCCCATCAGTTCAATATACCGTAGTTGTTTGGCGCCACCATGCGGGCAGGTGGCACCAAAATAATATTCATATATTCAATCGCGAATATGCTAGGTTCACTGAAATTGACACCCCGGCTAAAAGGTTTATAATTGCCTAAATATGCCACAAGATGGTGGGAAAGCACTACTTTAGCTTGAATGAAGCTCCTCACCTCACTTGCACTGAGCTCCTTGGCACCAAGATGCCACAAGATGGCAACAAAGCACAACTAGTGTCTAGATAAGCCCCTTAACTGGCTTCAACATAATTCCTTCGTACCAACACGCTGCAAGATGGCATCAAAGCACTACTGTATGTCTGTCTAAAATGAACTCCTCAGCTCACATCAAATTAGTTCCTTTGCATCAAGAGGCAACAAGATGATGGCAATGCAACTACTTTTGTCTAAATTAAATGCCTCATATTTTTATACATGGAAGATTTAAAGAAAAAATAAATCTGCAAATGCCAAACAGTTGACACGTGAACGTTCACTGGAAAGAAGACAGGATGGAATGGTTTGATAACTTTCTAAGTGGCTTTCCTTCTCCAGGCTCCACGACGTTACTTCCAGCCATTCGGATCCGGTCCTCGAGCCTGCGTGGGCAAACATGTTGCTTTGGTCATGATGAAATCAATCCTGGTGACGCTGCTCTCCCAATATTCCGTGTGCCCTCACGAGGGTTTGACTTTGGACTGCCTCCCGCAGACCAACAACCTCTCCCAGCAGCCTGTGGCGCACCAGCACGACAGCCAAAGTCTCACCATGACATTCTTACCCAGAAAGAGAGGACACTGGGACCCTCTTTGAGACTTTTTGTTTGCCTTCTCTCTTCCCAGACATTTATATCGTGACCACATACGTACAATACAATACAGCTTACCTATTTATTGGGTACACATTATTCATGATAAACAATTGCCAAATGAATGCATTAGATACATTGAGCTACTTTGTGTTTTGCTGTTGTGTGGCTGTACAGGGCTTATTTGCATGTGTATTGAATTCACTATCATACATTAAACTGTATTTTATTATTATTATATTTTTCACTTTCAATAAATTATTGCAGAGGATTGTGGCAATATTTTGCGTCGTGTTGTGCAACATTGTCACCGTATGTCGATGATCGATGTCAGGATTGGGGAAAATTAGCACTCTTGTGAAGGAGGCAATCGAACAGAAGTGTTCTCATACTGTTGAACATAAAGTTGTGTTTACTTATAGTGGTCAGAAGAGGTCACTGTAACATACAGTAATGCTGAGTGCTGAGAACCTCAACATGCAGTCCAGTGATTTGAATTGATGTTCATAATGTTCCACTCAATTCTAGTAAATCATTTTACACAGAAATGTGTTGATAAATCCGGTATGATGTCTTTAAATAGAACGAAGATACAATTTTTATACCTAAATGTGAATGTCGGTAAAAAATGTTTTGTTTTTTTTTTCCACTACGGCTTTTCCACTTTTGGCCTTCTAGTACAATTACTGTGCTGCACTAGTAACACTACTAGGACCAAGTAGTAGGCACATGTCACACAATAGTAGCCTCATAGGGTTTACTACTAACAAGAATATGCCCACGAGATGTTTTGCTTCACTAGTAACGTGTAGTTGCCTTAGTAGAGTGAAGAAACATCATAGTCGCGCCAAAAAAAAAAAAAAAGAAACCCAAAACGTTTCAAGTAAAACAGTTTTTCTACTAGTGCACCCTCTGCATTCTACTACTCTCAGGACAAAGAATGTCCTAGTACATGGACCCGAAAAGCTTGACAAATAAATGAAACTGCTTTTCATAGCACCCTTGGCCAAAAAGCTTCTGTTATTATGGCGTTGTTTTCATCTGTGTTGGACTGCCTGTTTGGGTGTGTTTTTATTTTGAGTTCGTTTCCTGTGTTTCATCGTTTTTACAAGTTTCCGGCATTTGTTATTTTGCTTTGAGGTGTGTTCACTGCTGTTATTTTTCTTTGTTGGCTTTACTATGTGCTTGGCTTTGGTCTATGCTTTGGGAGTCGGAACGTCTCCTTTGTGGACAAACAATGAACTGTGCTCCGTGATGTTTGGCGACCGCCGTATTTGAGCCGCTGTCTGCCAGACTACAAAGCATGTGTATTGTTAGCCAAGTATTGCGATAAATTCTCTGTGGTTTACAGTTCTTGTTTGTGCCTTTAAAGGAAAGTTCTAACTTCTTGTGATTGAAAGGATTGTTGAATGAGAATTTAGACGTTCGAAGTTACTTTGCGTCTTTCTGAGAAATTCAAGTTCAGTCTGGTCGTGACAGACAGATAGGATGCAGGCTAGCTCTCAGCACTAGTGTGCAGTGCACCTTCCTCCCTTTGCAGCCATGGCCCGCAATTGTGCCTGGATCAAGGACAAATGTGTTCTCTGCTGGAAAAGGTAATGGAATATCCAGAAAAGTTCACCAGGGAGCTCAGATGATGATTTTATCCTCCCAAAAGACCCCCAATCTGACCGCTCATGAGGAACTATGAGGAAGTCCTCATACCAGGTGCGTCGGGACTACTCAGATTGTGTTCTTGTTACATTTTAGTCCGCAGTAGTTGGAATAAACCAGCTACCTTTTCACATGGCCTGTTTGAGGCGCTACACATGCAGTGATCGCCAATTTATGAGATAATTATCTTAATATACAGTAAACGGTATACTTTCTGTGACAAATGTGTTTGGTGGTGTGCCATTAGATTTTTCAAGTATAAAATATGTGCCGTGGCAAACTGGAAAACATTGACTTGCAGTACCAGCTATCTCTATTCTGGGGGGGGGGGGGGGGGGGGGTGCGCGCAGCGC